TTGGAACTGGAGTTAAAGAGTTTTACAGTATAACCCAGGCTGGCATTCTGTTGGTCAAGAACTCAATTTGCAGCCCAGGCAGGCCTGAAATTTGGGGTTCTTTTCTCGAGTGCTGGGACCATGGGTTTGAATCACCACATCTGGCTAGTGGATCCGTTTCTCAGTGTGTAATTAACAAACAGAACTTTGACTTAGAAGTTAATCTAAGAATTTATTTAGTAGCCCCAATTCCACAGATCTATTCACTCATGTTGCTAATGAAATTCATCACCTGCAGTGGACAATGAAGCAGACTTGCTCAGAGCCTGGGTGTCATGAGAGGACAGTGTCACGACATGAAGAGGCCAGAATAAGTTTCACTGATTGATTGATTTTTGTTTTGTTTTGTTTTGATTTTTTTCTTTTGTTATTTTTTGAGACAGGGTCTCACCATATAGTGCTGGCTGACCAGGAACTTGCTATGTAGACCAGGCTGGCCACAAACTCACAGAGATCCTTCTGCCTCTGCCTTCCAAATACTGGGGTTGAAAGTATGTGCTACCACACCCAACAACTTATTTATTTTTGAGAAAGAATCTCCCTGTGTAACTCAAGCTGGCCTTGCAAACTCAAGGTCTTCCTCCCTCAGTATTCCAGGTGCTGATACTAGGGGTGAACTTACACTACCATGCTCCTTTGGCTAGTTGTCTTTTTTGGGGTTTTTTTTTTGGTCTTTTTGAGACACGGTCTCCCTGTAGCCCCAGCTGTCCTGGAACTCACTATGTAGACCAGGCTGGCCTTGAACTCACAGAGATCCGCCTGCCTCTGCCTCCCAAGTGCTGGGATTAAAGGCATGCGCCACCACACCTGACAGTTTTCCATTTTTTAAAAAATTCTATGTGTATGAATGTATTGTTTGCATGTAAGTGCACCCCTGTCATGCAGTGTCCGAGGAGGCCAAAAGAGGGCATCAGATCCCCCGGAACTGGAGTTACAGACGGTTGTTAGCCACCATGTGGGTGCTGGGAATCAAACCCAGGTCCTCTGCAAGAGCAGAGCTCTTAACTGTTGAGCCTCTTTCCAGCCCCATCAATTTAGTATTTTTTAACTACAGTTGACTGTGGATAACTGAAACCTTGGAAAGTGAGGCCATGGGTAAGGAGCATTACTATAATCTGCAGTATCTGCCCTTAGACTTGAAGGACCAAGTCAAAGAGGCACTTTAGTGCCTCCACATGACTTGTGCTTGGTACTTGGGATGTTGCACTTTCTTTAGCCAGTCTGTGAGCAAGGGCTACATGGTCAAGTCTCTTTGTCCCTTGCTGCTTAGGGTAGCACAAAAGCAGGGTGATTTAGCATTACAGTGGGCCTTTGCAGCCTGTTGTTTGCCAACTGTTTTTGTCATGATTTCTTTCCTGTTACTCTGCTCTGGTCTTATTTTTTCATCTTCACTGTAGTCCCCTTGAAGGCAAGGACTTTTCCTCTAGCCACCGTGTCTCCCTGGATGCCTGGTCTGGGGGGCACACTAAATGAAGAGTCTGCACCCTCATTTATTGTTCCTCAGTTTCACAGGCTACATGCTGGGTTCTGGGGGTCACACAGAGCCAAAGGTAAAGCTAGGGATATAGCTTAGAGTGGGGCGCTTGCTTGGCATGTACACAGCTGGGAAAAATAGACCCCAGACAGTGAGAGGCATAGGTAGGGAGACATCTACAGGGGCTGGTCTGGCTCCTTTGCCTTCTAAGAGTTCTAGCAGATGTCACCTCATTGTGGAGGGATTGTCTTTCAGGCTGGAATTACAAGACACACCCCAGGGTCCTTCCCAGCACAGACGGTAATTGTGTAGGCAGACTCTCATTTTATTAGCTATACATCACTGTTACAATAACAGCATAAGTTGCCTGTGGTTTGTGGGCCTCTTGATTTGGCAAGATCTTCTTGGTTAGAGGTTGATCTTGGCAAGTCTCTGGTTTCACAACTGGTTTCCTGTTCCTCCCATGTGTAGGTTAGTAACTGGTTGATCTAACAGATCACTTCTGGAAAGACAGACGGAGCTGAGCTGCCTGCCGATTGGAAGCAGTGTTCAGTCACTGTCCACCGCAATTTACTATGGGGTGAGGGAGCAAGCTGCAGAAGGAGTGGGTGGTGATAGACACTCTCTTTTGGCCCGAGTGAGGTCATTAATGGCTGTAGAGAGGAAGCTTCTAGAGGGTCAGGTTCATGGACCGTGTACTCCCAAGACTGTACCTTGGATATTACAAGAACTCGGAGGAAAAGAAGTGACCAAGCATAACACGTTTGGAGTAATTTGGGTACCATCTGGTCATGAAGGTACTCATGGTGAAGAAGTCACGATTCATTGGAGCTGATGAAACATGATTTTACATTGTTCAAATTATGTCACTAAATTTAGGAGTCATTTCCTCCAGCCTTCAGTTTATCATCAGTGGTTATCTGATGAGTCTCAGGTGACCATTGCCCTTTGATTTTCCTTAACTCCATACTGAGACCATTTGGTCCAAGCGCACCGCCCCCATCCTGGGGCTGAAAGCAAAACTTATGGGGGCTTGGGGAGAATGAAGCCTGAAAGACCCCCAAAGACTGGGGACCTGGCCTGGATGTGCTTTTTGCACTTTCTGCTGTTCGTGGTTTAGAGGGTCATCATCTAAAGGTACTGGTTCTCTTGACCTTCCATGGGTTTGGCCTTTGTCATAGTTGGTGTGGGCAGTGATAGGCAGCAGTTGCTCATCTTTCCAAGTATATGCTGTTATGAAAGCTTTTAAATCTAGAGAAAAAATGGAGGGGCTGAGGATGTAGCTTGTTTGGTAGAGTGTTTACCTAGCATGAATGAATCCCTGGGTTCTATCCCTAGCACCACATAAAACCAGGCATGGTGATACAAGCCTGTAATCGTCATAGTCAGGAGTTGGAGACAGGACCATAAATTCAAGTCATCCTCAGCTATGTGATGATTTTTTGAAGTCACTTGGGCTACACTAGACTCCCCCCCACCAAAAAAAAAAAAAAAAAAAAAAAAAAAAAAAAAAAAAAAAAAAAAAAGCAAAGAGGGCTGTAGAGATGGTTCAGCAGTTCAGAGCACTGGCTGCTCTTGCAGAAGACCCAGGCTCCATTCTCCACACCCTTGTCCTCAGCTCACAGCTGTCCTTAACTCCAGTTCTAGGGAATCAAATGCATGGCCTCTGTGGCCAATGCACACACATGGTCCACAGACATACATGCAGGCAAAATACTAATACACATAAAATTTTTAAAAAATTAAAAAATAGCTGAAGGTCCTGTGCACATCACCCGCTCCAGCAGTTTTAGGTTCCTGCCGTCATATTTCGTCTGCTCTACACAAGCAAAAGTGTCAGGAGATTCCTCCAGAGGGGCTACTGGTCAAGGGAGGACTTCACAGTCAGTAACAGACTCCTCCAGGTCAAGGAGGGCGATGCAGGGGGTGATGGAGTCAGCTCACACGAGGGGAATATTTTATTGGGTTGCAGGGCTCTGAACCTAGGGCACAATCTTGTCCCACCTTGGGGGCATAGTTACAGAGGTAGGTGATCATGGTGAGTTGACAGTCTGAGGCTTTGCCTTCTCTATAATGACAGACGTCAGAAAAGAGATGGATTTATAATGTATTGTCAAGAGTAAAAACAACCATAGAAACAACTGACCACCTCCATTTTGCTTATTTACAATGTATCAGATACGTGCTCAGAACTTTCTGTAGATTATTCATGGACTTCTCATGGTTACTTGCAGGGATCATGGCCCATTTTGGAGTTGGTCAGAGCTCAGCTAACTAGCTTGTATGGGATGCAGGGTAACTTGTTGAGCCTGGAGCCTTGAGAGATTTCTGTTCGCCTTAAGCCTAAGGTCCCGAGTTGGAGGGAAGCTGTCGGGAGAGTGACAGGCACAGTAGCAGTGAGTGCGTAATACCAACACCAAGATGTCCTGTGGTACTGTTTTGCCTTTGTTTTGGGCCTCCTGATGCTGTCCACTTAAGTGGATTGTAGAATAATAACCCAGACATCAAAGGACTGAGGATGTGAAGCTAGGGGATGGGGAAGCTCTCTGGCAAAAGGCAGCAAGCACAGGGTGTTATGGTAGTTTTCTGAGGTCAGGTGAGTCTTGTTTGCCATTGGACTGTGAGTCTTGACTTTGTCAGGAATTGATGCTGAACTTTGCCCTCAGCTGTGACTTTCTATCCATGAAAATGGTAGGTTGGGCATTGTGTCCTATAGGCTACAAGTTCAGTGATACCATGTTTGGTTTGCTTTTTGAAAAAAGGTCTCATTGTGTAGCTCAGGCTAGCCTTGAACTCACAGCAGTCCTCCTGGTGTCTACCATCTGAATGCTGGGATTACAGATCTGAGTTGCCATGCTTGGCAGAAATGAAAGCTTTTCATAAGCGTCTGGTGATTTACTCTGTGCACTTTAGTTTGGTTTCTCTGGGTTTATGTTTCTTTGGTGGAACAGGAAAGGCAGCGCCATCTTTCAGCAGAACTTAGGATCATTTCTGTGACAGCCTTGGTCAGAAGGCTGGGCAGGTCAATACCCTGGGGTTTCATGGGCGAGGTTTGTTTTGATCCCCTCTTCCTAGCTCTCAAGTCCACTTTGATTATAGGCTGGGCCTTCAGAGCCTTCGTTAGGTGTCCAGCAGGCTGTGAGGCTTATGTATACTGGCAGTTAGTTGGTCTGTGTTGGTGGTCAGCCTGGAGCCTTACTAGAGGGAAGTTGCATGAGAACCTTGGGCTCTGTTAAGACATCAACTTCCCTAGAACTCACTTGAAATTGGTTGCTGAGATGCCTTCCTTGTTAGTGGCAGCCCTGGCCACATGTAGAGCCCACTCCCTCAGCTTTGTGTGTTCTTGGTCCTTTCCCACAAGCTGGTGTAGACAACCTGTTTGCATGGGGATTGTGGTAATAGTTTTGGCTACTTCTGTTTATTAGCAGTAGGGACAACACAAAATGTGTGAATAATGAGCTCCATTCATTGCCATTTCTGCCTGCAGCCTGGAATTGTATCGCCATTTAAACGAGTATTCCTAAAAGGTGAAAAGAGTAGAGATAAGAAAGCCCATGAGAAGGTGACAGAGAGGCGCCCTCTGCATACTGTGGTGTTGTCATTACCCGAGCGCGTCGAGCCAGACAGACTGCTGAGCGACTATATTGAGAAGGAGGTGAAGGTAAGTCATCGTGGGCCACAAGGCACTCCTTCCAAACACATCATTTGGCATCTCCACATAGATATGTTAGCTTGCATCCTACCCACCCTCTTGCCTCTGAGGATATATCTAATAACTAGAAAACCCCAAACCTGGGTCCCAGGCCTGGTGCCAGTTTCTGATTCTTTAGTAGTCATGCTACCTCTCTCTGGAAGGTCATATAGACAGCGTGTTCTGCCCCACTAGAAAAGGGCTGTAGAACAGGAGACGGCACACGTCTCTTCCAGTTTGCAGATGATAAGAGGTACTTGTTCCCAACCCTGGAGCCCTTGCATGTGTCACTGTTGAGGGCTCAGGTTCTGAGCCTGAATGCTCAAGATCCATCATTGTCTTAGAGGCCTGTGCCCAAGAGACTGTTCAGGCTATGTGGTGTCCTCTGAAATGAAGGCGAATGGAAAAACATAAAGCCATGAGTTCAGAGAGAATGGGTAAGAGACAATAGGCCTTGGAGCCCTTAAGGGAAAGGAGGAAGCCAGAGAAGGTGCGATTTCCTAGTTAGTGGACATAGCCAGATTGAGTGCCTGCAAGGACAGAGTCCGAGGGCCTCAGGAGGCTTAAGGTGCTGACTAAATGTTCCAGGGAGGAATTAGCTAGCTCCCTTCCTCACTGGGAGGTGGGACTTTGGATATGCTGATACCTGGCACAGGAGTGGGTAGAGGAAACCCAGGCTGAAGTTAAGTCAAAGCCTGCTGTGGATGGTTAGAAGCCACAACACCTTTATCTTGAAGCTTCTGGAATGTCTGTGACCAGGCCTCTCCCACAAGAGAATGTGTAGAAGTGCTTGATGGAGAAGTTGAGGAGTCCCATACTGACCCCAGGAATTACCTCTTAATCCCCTGAATAAAGCCCAGCAGTCAGGAACTCTGTCCCTGTCCACAGCTTCAGTCAGCTCTTCAAAGTCTTTTTTATTTTTTTTTTAGTACTTTATTTTATTTTTTTAATGTGTATGAGTGTATTGCCTGCATGTGTTTATGTGCACCTGTGTCATGCAGTGCCCTCGGAGGTCAGAAGAAGGCATCAGATCCCCTGGAAATGGGGTTACAGTTAGTTGTTAGCTGCTATGTGGGTGTTGGGAATTGAACCTGGATCCTCTGAAAGAGCAGTCAGTTCTCTTAACCACTGAACTCTCTCCAGCCCCCAGAGTCTTATTTTAAACAGGCAGCTAGGGATAAGTACACCTTTCAGGTAAACCTTCACGTAAAGCTAGAACCTAAAACAACAAACATGAACGAGAAGCAACAGGAAAACACTTAGGACTGTCTTGTTGCTTGATAGTAAGTTACATTCTGAGAGAGTGTCATCAGACGACTAGGTTGCTGTGAACTTAAGGGTGTACTTATACAAATCCAGATGTAGCTGGGTGAATTGGTCACTCATTGTTTTTCTTCTGTAATCCAGAGGGGTAAACACGAGATGAATGATGCTGGTGCCAGTTGCTGGAACACTGCTTATAACTGCTCACCAATAAACTGGGTTTTTGTTTTTTTGTGTTTTTTTTTTTGAGGTTTCTTTTTTGAGCTAGGTCTTTGTCTAGCCCAGGTTGCCTTTGCTTGCATCAGCCTCCCAAGTGCAGAGATAACAGGTGTTTGCCACTGCACTTGGCTGTAAAGTTTTTTAATTAAAAATTTAAAAAATTTTTGTGTATGAGCATTTTGCTTACATGTATGTGTGTACATGGCCCATAGAGACCAGAAGATGGCATTGGATCCCATGGAACTGGAGTTACAGATAGTTGTGAGCTGCCATGTGTGTTTTAGGAACTGTATCTGGGTCCTCTGCAAGAGCAACAAGTGCTGTTACTGCTGAGCCATTTTTTTCCAGTCCCTGTAAACTTTTTTTATTTATTTATTTATTTATTTTTTGAGATAGGATCTCCTTGTAGTTCCAGCTGTCCTGAAACTCATGTAGACCAATGGCCAGAATCTCAGAGGTGTCTGCCTGCTCTGTTTTCCAAATGTTGGGACTGAAGGCACACATCACTACTCCCAGCTTAAACTTTTTTTTTAAGACAAGATCTTACTATATAGTCCTGGCTGGCCTGGAACTAACTACGTAAACCAGGCTGATCTTGCACTCACAGGGATCTGCCTTCCTCTGCCTCCAGAGTGCTGGGATTAAAGGCCTGCACTACTACTCTGGGCTGTTTTGTTTTGTTTTTTTTAATAAGTAGAAAGAGTACTCTCAAAAATAATGTGTAGAAGTCTAACATGGTAAATGTATAGACAAGTAACGTAGTTGTATTAGTTAACTTCTCATTGCTGTGACAAAATACCCAACAAAAGCAACATGAGGAAGGAAGAATGTATTTTGGCTCACAGTTTGAGGGTACAGCCCATCATGTTGGGGAACTCACAACATCAGGGACGTGAGGCAGCTAGTCACATTGCTGCTACGTCAGGGAGGGAGGGTGATGAAGGCTGGTGCTTAGCTCCATTCTTCTTTTTATTCAGTTCAGGATCCCATCCCATGGCACGGTGCTGCCCACAGTTAGGGTACATCTTCCCACTTCAGTTAATCCAATATAGAAGCTCCCTCACAGACAAACCCACAGCTTTGTCTCCTAGATGATTCTAGATTCTGTCAAGTTGACAGTATTAACCATGATGGTTGTTTATTATGATTATCAAATATTATGTGTGCTGTATTTAAAAAAATTTTTTTTTTATTTAGTATTTTTATGTGTATGAATGTATTCCTCGCATTTAAGTGTATCTGTGTTGTGCCATGTGGGATTGAACACAGGGCTCCATGCATGTTAGGAGGTACTCTGTTGACTAAACCTTGTCTCTAGCCGCCTCTACTTTTAAATTTTTTTAAAGGTTGGAGTGGTGGGGAGCATAGCTCTGTGGCACAGTTGTGTGCTTAGCATATGTGTAAGGCCTGTTTCCAACCCCAACCTCACATTAGAAAAAATGTGAGGAGAGCATTTAGAATTAAAAGTGTGTTGAATTTTATGTCTTAAAAATAATTTAGCATAGAACATTTGTCTGGCATGCCCAAGGCTCATTGTTCAATTCCCAGCACCAAAAAAAAAGATAAAGTGAAGAACACTAATTGTCATAGTGTCTTTTTCTGTTGTGTGGTAAAATACTCTGACAAAAACAACTTAAGGGAGAAAGGGTTTGTTTTGGCTCACAGGTCCAGGGGAGTGTGGTCTGTCATGGAACGGAAGTCAAGGCAACAGGAGCTTGAAGCAACTTGGCATACATATCCTGTCCACAGTCAGGAAGCCCAGGGGCGAAGGCATGCTGCAGCTCAGTTCCTTTCTCCACTTGCATAGTTGGGGAATCTCAGTCAGGAAATGGTATTGCCTGAAGGGAGTGGGTCTTCCTGTTTCAGTTAACTGAGCATGGTAATTCCCCACAGACAAGCCCCAGGGTCTGTCTTCCTGTTGACAGTTCACAGTAACCATCACACTAATTGCTTAGATGTGGTACAGGCCTATAATCCCAGCTCTGCGGAGGCTGTGAGGCAAGAGGACAAGTTTGAGGCCAGCTTGGACTTAAAATGATGGCATGATATTATCTGGAAAAGGAAAAGAAAAAAAAAATCAGTAGAGGGCTGGAGAGATGGCTCAGCAGTTAAGAACACTGACTGTTCTTACAGAAGACCCAGGTTCAAATCCCAGCACCCACATGGTAGCTAACAACTGTCCGTAACTCCAGTTCCAGGGGATCTGACAGTCTCTTCTGTCTAAGGACAGCAAAGCTACTCCTTCTGGCCAGAGGGGCCAGGAAAGGGACAGCTTCACACGACTGAATGTTTAAATAGGAACTCAGCTCCAGCCAAACATGATAGACAAACTAGTGGCCCTACCTCTACCCAGTCAGCAAAGGCCTACTTCCTCCCCAGAGCAGGCCAAACACAGGGTGGAGTCTTCACCTTTGCTGGGCAGCAGCAAGCCACTAAGGAGCCCTGGTGGTCCTGGGTGTGGTGGAGGCCTAGTGACAGGGCAGTCCCAGGTATTCCTACCCACCCTAGCCAGAGAGGTATCCGAGGGCCACAGGCTAAGCCTTGCCAGCCGCAAGCATAAAGAGATGTCACACATTCAGAGGTCAATGGAGGCCAAGTGGAATATCCGCCCTTTGATAGATACCTGGCAGTAAAAAGGTGTCGAGGTGTCGATCCCTCTCTGCTGAGGTACCAGAGCAAAATTTCTACATCTCTTTCTTCTGAATCCTTGGGGGAAAACAGAAAGGGCAGGGCTGCAAAACTTCTTGGAGATTAAATGACTAGGACAGTTCCAGGAGGCAAGAAACAAACCTAGAGGTTCATGAAGCCAGGCCTATGGTATGGGTACCATGTGCAGTCCCAGCTTGAGAGGGTGGGCTCAGGAACTCAAAGCCAGCTTGGGTATCATAACAAGGCTCCACTTAAAAAATTACAAGAAATATTTTTACAAAATTGAGCAAGCAAACGTCAAACAGGTTAAAACTTAAATCCATACTAGCATATCAATGAGGCATTTGAGAAGTGTAGACACTAAATCTTTATCTTTATCTTTTTGCTCTTTTGAGACAGGGTTTGCTGTGTAGCCCAGACTGACCTTGAATTCACAGCAATCCTCTCTCATCCTCCTGTGTGCTAGGATCACAGGCATGTGCACAGATCTTGAAAGCAGCATAGAGCGAGCAGTTAGGCCATCTGATTTCTCCTCACAAACATGGGGGCCAGAAAGAAGTGGCACAGCAGTCATCAAAGGTGAAGACGCTGTCGCAGCAAAAGAAGGGCGCGAGCAAGTCAAACAGCTCGGCACGGAGGCACTGTCCCAGAGATGGACCATCAGGTTGGCACGGAAGTGCGAGCTGCCCCATCACCCAGTATGAAATTCATAATTGGACAGCCTGGTAACTTAAAGAGATTTAATATCTGATTTGCAAACTCCCATGAAAGAAATTTCTAGCCAGTGTGGTAGCACTTGCCTTTAATCCTAGCACTTGGGAAATAGAGGCAGGAAGATC